TGCATGCTTGTTTGTTTGTTTGTTTGTTTGCTTGCTTGCTTGCTTGCTTGCTTGCTTGCTTGCTTGCTTGCTTGCTTGCTTGCCTGTGTGTTTGTTTTTGTGTTGGTGTTGGTGTTCGTGCTTGTGTTTGTGTTTGCATTTGTGTTTTGATTTGTGCTTGTGTTTGTGCGTGTGTTTCTTTGTTTGGTTGGTTGCTCGTTTGTTTGTTTGTCTGTTTATGTTCTTGTGTGTTTGTGTGGTGTGGTTGTGTGTTTGTGTGGTTGCTTGTTTGATTGCTTGTGTGTGTGCTTGCTGGCTTGTTTGTTTGCGTGTGAGCTTATGGAGCTTGCCTTCTGCTTCGAGCTTCCTCGGGTAGGGCTGGAATGCACTCGCATGCGAGCGCGCTGTTACGAAGCTTCACGTGTCCTACATTCTTTAAGTCCTCAAGTCCTCGATAAGCACAGGCCATACTTCGAAGCGTCTGACAGACATGAACCGAGCAAGCCTTAACCCAATTACAGAAGGGGCCGGGCAACCATGGACCGGTTGAAAGCAGCTGGTCGAGTTCCCGCTCCTCTGCTTCGCTGATGAAATCCGCGCAATACCTTCCATCGACGGTTTACGATTTGATCTGAGATGCCCCGTGGGGTCAGCTTAGGCCAGGCTTTTACTTAGGCTCTTCATGGCTTAAGTTTGGACCGGACTGCACCATTGTTTTCGGAGCTTCCGTGCTGTGCTGTGATCGGCACTTCCACAGACAGTAGCCCGGAGGTCACGACCATGGACGGCAGGTCCTGCCTCAGCCCCTGCGGCAGCTTCTGGGGCAGCTTGAAGCGGTGCCCATACACAGCGCGGGGCCTCCGGTTGGGATGCAAACAGCTGTGTTGGTTCATTGGTCCATACGTTAAGGGCATCTGCACGCCGGAGCACTGAAGGCAGCAGAAACAAATGTGCAAAGAAAAGCGAGGGGCTTGGAAAGCATTTCTTGATCCGAGGTGCTCCTATTCTTAGGGTAGATATAGGTAAACGTATAACAAGGACGACTCATCCTGTCACCGCAACTTAGCCCGACACTGGGACCACTGAAAGTTCAGCGCGGTATGGAGGGTGGCCTCAGGGCCGGAACCCGGGGCAGCGTGAGCCAACTGCACCCTAGACAATTTTGGTGTAGCCAGGTTTCGACACTCAGAGAGCGAGCTATCACAACCGTCCTGTCAGAGTTGCAGTCCCGAGTCCCGAAAACAGGCAGCCTGCACGGCCAAGGGGCAACTCAGTAGTCCTTATTTGACCCTGTCCACGCCTGCGCAATATTGCTGACAAGTGGGCGCTAGGGTTGAAGCCCAAGCAAGAAACCAGTGTAAGCCAAGCACTAAACCCTAGAGCCACCCCTATCGCAAACTTCCTCTCCCGGCCCCTTCCCTCTATTCCTGTCCCGGCCACAGGGGCGCAGCTGAGACGCAGGGGCGCAGTCGCAACCTGCAGCTCAAGGGGGACATTTCGCCCCACCAATCCAGGCTCGCAAGTTGGTTGTCACCTTGTCTTGACTTGATCTTTCTGAGTAGTGCTGGGGCCTTCGATCATGGAACCCTCCGCTCTCACTGCTAGACCTGCTGGGACACAGGGAGAAACAATCTGAACGTGGATCCCACATCTTCCGTGCCTTTGGGCTTTCCCATCGCTTTCAGATTGCACTGAGGCGACCACGAGTGTCCCTGCAGCTGCGGCAGCCGCGAGGCCTTCGGCTTCACTCACAAGATCAGCTTAGGCCTGAACTCAACTCCGGTGCCGAAGCGACTTGCTTTGCCTGCTTTGCTATCTGTAAGGGCCTCGTCTGGGCCTGGACCGGGACCATCGCCGCCATCGGAGTTCACACAGCATACAGTAGGTCTTTTGGGATGACTGCGTGATTGCTTTACTCAAATCGAAGGGCTGAAGGTTCCGGGTTTTGGAACGTCTGCACCTGATGGAAGCGAGTTGAGGCTTCTCGTTGTTGCCACTGTAGGCACTTGTTTGCTGTTGCCGACTAAAATTGATTTCGGGACTCTGCTGTGCCGATATCTTGCCGTGCCCAGCACTAGATTTCTCTACAAGTGCCGTCACACAAGCACTGGGAATCACTCGGGAATGCTTTGTCCGTGTTGAGCCGACTGAGACATCCTTCCGTTCGAGGTCGCCCTCCACCATGATCTAGAATAGACAGCACTTTAACTTTACTTATCCATCTATCTACTGCTGTCTTCGACTCCGGCTGGAATGGTATCAAGCGGTCACAATGCACGCTTCACGAAGCCTTGGCAATGCCATCGCGCAACTGCACCATGCCGGCAGGATCAAATTGTTGCGGCGGCACCCTGACATTCATGAGCCCCTGAAATCCCTGAAAGGTGCAGAACATGTGCCATTTCCTACACTAATCTCCTTGTCCTGAGCTCGAAAACAACTAGAAATTGGTTCAGTCCTCACAGGCATCCCATCCATATTCTCCAGCAGGCAACCCTGGAAAGATGCCGAACGACTCCATTTCGTCTTTTCCAGAGCCTTGTGCTTCCCCCACAAAGCAGACCGGGTGTGACTGCAGGACATCATTCAAGCAAGCGTTCTCGCATTTACCACCTCGGGCTTACGTTCCTTGGAGAAGGTCATAGACGGGAAGTACAACAACAAATCAGGCCAAGTAGAAGTACAAGAGGGCACCGGTTCGTCCGCAGCCACCCCAGGGCAACTACGGCTCCCCACCCCAGTGCCCGGAGGCCAAACGGCCGTTTGTCGAAGCTCTGCACCTCGTTGCAGTCAGTACGAGTCTTGGACTCCGTATGTGAGGCGCCCGAGAACATCGAGTACGGCTCTAGATTCTCATCGAAGACAAAACATTGTTGATGAATCTGTCGTTGACCATTCTAAAGCCGCAAGTGAATAATGGCGTCCGCAAGCGACTGCCTAGCAGCCACCCAGTATGCATGGAAGCAGGCTGTCTCCTGCTTCCCCATCCGTTGCGTTTGGGATTGGACGCTTGTGCTACTAGATATACCGTCTTTCAAGAGTGCTCTACTGCGAAACTTTCCTCACTTACATGCATTGTACCTGTCTAAAGATATGTCACACCATGGCGACTCAAACTCCAAAAACCCACCCTGGCAGCCATGCAGAAGGCAAACATTAGCGCCGCATCATGGGTAGTGATAGTGCCCAAACAGGCCGCTGAAATCCGCTGAAGCGCAGCGTGTTGGCAGGTGCCGTAGGACTCCGCCTCAGAGAAAGATGAGGCCACAGACGCTCGGCCATCCAATTTAATCTACTCATTCTGGCGGTTCACAGTCACGAAGGCACCAAATTTTGCTGGCGACATCTGCGCGGGTGTGCCTATAGCAGTTTCTGGCCACTCAACCTTGCGGCACAATTGCGAAGTAGGAGAATTACCTGCGTGCCTCCGCATGTCCTGCCCGTGCAGTGCAAAGAGGAGGGAGAAAGGGTCCCCACGAATTCTGGCTAGAAGATGCTGCTCAAAAGGTAGCAATAGCAATGCCAAAAACGTGATGAAATCCAAAGCTTCTATCTCTGCATGGCACGCCACCCGGCCCAAATAAGAGCGAAGGCATCATCCAAAGTGCGAGAGGTTTAGCCCAAACTGGCTATGCTGCCAAAGTTTTTGGAAGCCTCAGGCCACCAAGTCTCTCGGTCATGCAGCGTTTGCTGCTTCTGCATCGAACTTTTCAGAAAACTCGACGACTGTTGCTCTCGGCTCACTACAGGTACGTTCCAAGCAGTCCCACTCTTGCCCCGAGGCGACTGCTGGCGTGACTGCGTGCGGCTGCCGTTCCCAAGCCTTCCCAAAGACACAACGTGACGGTGTGACCCTTGAGCATGCAGCATTTAGTGTCCTGGTCTGGGCCTGGGCCGTGCTCGCTTTGGCGGCTAGGCTGCTGAAGCGCACGGAAGCCGGGCGACTCTCAGCGCGCTGTGCCACAGCGCTGTGGAGTTCGGCCTGGTTATGAGCAGGCAGGCAGTGGGTTCTCAGTTCTGGTTAGCAGCTGGGACTCAGGTCCTCATACACGTGCAGTTCAAACAATAATTGCAGAGCCGACGCAAGTCACGTCCTCAACAGCAATGCATGTCACGCTCTGCATCGCTACCCACTCCTTTGGCGCTATATGCGACGTACACATACACACACACACAATCCTCGTCACGCTTGAAGTCCCTGCAACAGCTAATCATAGGTGACATGTGACGCAAAATATTGCACAAACCCAAGCGACGCTTCGATGTCCGCTGCTTGCCGTTGCGTCAACCTGAGCCAGAGCGATTGCCGGTGCCCTGCGGAACAGTAATTCGGACAGTCTATCAGTCTATCAAGTTGCCAGCAAGGTCATGCACACGAGCCCCGGTGCCAACGCTAACAGGCAAGCACACGCCACGCCGATGAGTTACATAGGTGTGCGGCTGGCGGGTTCTTTGAGCCGGCTTCATGACTCAGGCACGAGGGCACACAAGGCAAAGTTGTGTCAGCTGAAAAGCTTGACCTCATCTACAAGCCCGAAATAGCACAAAGCAGTGGCCCGTGGCGCAGCACTAACGCTCTCAACTCAGTGTCCAGCGTGGCCGCACAGTACCGAGGCACCTCCCCAATCTTCAAGCGTCAAGGCCCTGTATCCCCAAGCATGAAACCCAAGTCCTCAACAACGGAAGCCCCGATTAGCGTGAAGGCCAAAGCCAAAGACTCCAAACCCTCCAGAACGCGGTATCGTAAAGGGGCAAAAGATGGCAAAAGGGCCCGCTATCACAAGACCTAAATCTGCTGGCCGGAGGCCGGGGTGCTTGGAGTCCTTAGAGTTCCGTGGGACCATCATGCAATGGCCGCACCCTCGGCTATGTGTTTTCGACTGCTTGGTTCAATTGTGAGGGTCTGGTACGAGTAGGAGGACCTGTGATTTTTTCACAGTTTTGTCGCCCACACTTCTCTTTTTGGCCTTGCCTGACCCCCCCCCCCCCTTTCCTTCATGGCCCTGTGTGCCCTTCCTGTCGGGGCCCTTCCTTTCTTGTGCATGGAACCGCCCCAACCATCTCTTCCCTCCCACGCTGAAAGGCAACAAAAAGGAAACATCAAAACAGGCTTGCAGCATGACCTACCCAGATCGTACTGCAACAGCCGCGGACAAGCATGTGAGTACTGAACCCTGAAAAGTGGCCGGGCCTGTAGTGCCCAGCGGCGGAGACAACCGCAGTGCTTTGCCACGGCCCAGTGGCCTCACAGTCATCGTCACCATGGTCAACAAACAAAGCTGCCTTCACAGTGCGTAGTCTGGGAAGCCGAGTGCAGGGCCGAAGGCTCGCTGCAAGGCCCTCCGATGAGCGAAGCTGGCGGCTGACAAAAAACGCCGGCGCCTCGCTCTCAACGGGCTCTCAGCGGGGCCGGCACAGGGTTTGGAACAACCTCGGGAAGATGACGGGGTTCCGGAGTGGCTACTAGCAGAAGCTGTATACCTGCTTGTGGTGGGCACGCCAGCCAAGGGAAAGAAATCTGCAGGCCAAGCACACTGTCCTCTTACACTAATCAAAATGGATGGGGTTTTGACCTTTGGTGTTTGGGCTTGGTGGGATTCGGTGCCCAAGATTTGAGATTCGGTGTGTTGAAGCGGGGTTGCGTTTGGTTCCGTGCTGCGGGCTGATCAATTGGGGTTCTGACAGGTCATGCAAGTGCTGCGGCACTGTTTGCCTTTCTGCAGGCTGCATGGCTCACGGCTCGCTGGCGCGCTTCTGAGCCGCTTTTGGTCAAAGCTAGTCCATTCCGGTGTTGGGTACCGCCATGCACTGTTGCCTGTTGGTGTTTTTTCATAGCATGCTGCGAGTACATCTGTTTCGGAATGATGCAACACACTCGTTGCACTGAATGCTTTTGCTGGCTGCGTGAGTACACGCGCACCAAAATCTGCAAACAAAAAACCGTCCACGGAAGGAATGGGCACTCCAGCAAACTGTCTCCTGTACAAGATGCAATGTGCGTTTGGGAAGTGTGACCATAACCTATCCGTGCTCAACGGCGCATCGGGCTTACAGGACGTCAAGCCGAATCTGGCTCGCTCCAAACGCCGACCTTGCTCGTTCCGCTCCGTCAAATTCTTTAATTTCATGTTTGCATTGCACACGTGTATTGTCGTCGGAATGTTGCTGTGCAACCCCATATACGCCTGTGGACTCCACATGGGGTTGCAACGCAACATTCCGACGACAATACACGCGGCGGAACAAGAACCACGGCGAGCAACAACAAGCAGAGCGAAGATGTCGCACCTACCAGAACTGGTGCAAAAAAAACTGGCACCCAGCGAGGGTCAACATGAGCATCGCAGCGCGATGCTTCATGAAGCCTCCACGCCAATGTAGCGAATTGCTATCCGATGCGAACGTCGGCTGTGCGAACCTGTACCTTTCTGCTGGGCCTGCATCGCTGCATTGCTGCATTTTCCTGAATTCGCTCCGTGGATGGTCCATCACGATGCCGAGTCATGATGCAGACGTCTCTTCGCAACATGAGTCCCGCGGTTGCTCAGATTCTGTTTTTTGTTGCAGTAGCATCAATAACTGACACTTATCCAAGCCATCCCCTAGCTCAAGGGCAAACCAAGGCTCTGCCAGAGATGCGAAGCAGATTTCTTGGTTGAAGCATGGCCCGTCTGTCTCGGTCAATCCCGGCGCTTGTGCCCCGCCATTAGCGCGACGGTAGGCCGTCTTCTGCAAGAGGTAAGGAGTCTTTCAAGAAGCTCTGAACACGGGACCGGTCTTTACGAGCAGCTACGCGTTGAAGCACCGCAGCTCTTGTCCGTCCAAGGATTGGTAGAAATTCAAAGGTTCATCAAGAAACTTCGTGAAGACCTTCAAGTACACGGACAATAAGAGGCGATCACTTCCAATTTTTGCAGAATCGTAGCGGACCCAAGTTGTCAACCCCATGCCTCTGCCCGCTCAATTCTAGTGACACCCTCACTGCCTCCGCTACAGAGCACTGGGAGCATGGGGAATCCGCGCTCGAAGCTTTGGATCGTCAGAACAACATCCGGATGATGCCTGGCCGGTTGAGAAAGCATCGTGCAGTTCTGCTGACTGCTTCCATGGCCTTGCCCCAATGCGCAGTCGCCCACTTGGACAGGTTGATGCGACTGGGAATGTGGAAGATCTGATACAGCGTGACAACCCTCAGCTCTGCTTGTGGACGGCAGACGAAAGGCTTGAGAAGGTCCTGAACGCGAGAAGACCCTGTCTTCCTCCTATGGCATATGGAGCTCGAAAACAACCCCGAAAGATACTCACAACACTTTCTAGCCATAAAGCGAAGGTCTGCGAAGAGCCGCCAACTTGTGGATACCTGTGCCGCGCGCGCATGCACATGTCCACATCCACGGCTTCATCCCAGTTGCTCTCGCAGAAGAAGTCGGCCTGCAGAAACTCCGTCTCGATGTCGCCGAGGAGAACTGCAAAGGTGCACAATGCCCTCCAAACTGCTCCTGCACGGTGAAGTGCTCCGTCTTCGATTCTGTGCAGGTCCTCACTGCCCATGCATGCATTTCCGGTCGGACAAGGATGTGCTTGGGAACATGTTTCACCTGCAACTCCGGCCCCAAGAGCTTCACCAAACTCCCACCCAAAGACAAGTGCAATGGGAGAGGCTATGAGCATCAGCGATGCTGTTCCAGCCAACCGGGCAAAGGAAGTGCTGAACGTGGTGCAACCATTCCTCGATGTTTTCCGGACGCGCTGCCATGACTCTGGTGAGTACCTACCTTCCGGCGAAGTCGACTGCGCAATCAAATAATTAGGACTTCTCGGACCGTCAATGTCTCACAACACAAACAGGCAAAAATCACAATCAGCATCACGGGAATGGGAGGACATTTGTTTGCCAGAGGACTTCCGTCCCAAAAAAGGCAAAAACAGTAGCAAAAATGTGTGTGATTTAGACCCATCCAAGATCCCGGGCAATGTCCCTGGGACTTGAAAAGGGCAAGTTGACATGGCCGGCATTGCGTAAGTCCGAGGGGCCCCTGCACGGCTCTGCAGGCCCACCTCCGCCAGACTTCCCGGGGCGCCCTGACAGAGGGAGAGGATGAGACTTAGGGAGACATAGGGAGACTTAGTCTTCACTCAGCAAATATTCCTCACCATCCATACAGTGTAGCGATCTCGCTGCCCGCACCCTCATCAAGTAGCCGAAGACCAGAAATCAACACCAGGAGGACTCACACACATCACCAGGGGCTTGCTATTTGCAGAACACGCACCCGGCGAAGTCTTCATCGGACCGGCAAGCGCGGCTGATTGCAGCACTGCGGCGCCACCTGCTCTGCCGGGACTCTTTGTAAGATTGCGTTTTTGGGGAAGGTTGAGGCCCGTGTCAGCGCCGCTTGAGCAGGTTGGGTTTGGGCGAGAGATGCAAGTCTCAGCCCCGACTGTGAGGACGACTGGGACCCTGGGACGGGGACGCCCGTCAGATCCACGCTTCTTGCACCTCAAGAGGTAGTCCGACAAGCAGCTGCGTTTTGCGGCCCGGTTCCTGGACAGTCTGGAAGCTGTTGGGTGATGACTGCGCCCGAACATGCCTGTAGGCAGAAAGCCTTTCCAGAATTTACCTGCTTTGCTACGAGGTTGCATCCCAATGGTCAGCTTCGTCAAGGATTCTGAGCACAGCAGTCCTAGAATATCCGCGCGAGAAGTTGCAAGCATGAACATGCGGATGAACAGAGGAAGACCACGGCTCCTCTACACGCAACCACTCTTGTACCCAGAGCGCAGAACGCCAGAATTCCTGGATCAGTCACTGAGGTATGTGCCAGGCGAGCAGGAAGAGCAAAGCCAACCTTTCCAAAGAGCGGTGTCGGAGACCTGCAAGGACTTCAGGGAAGTCATGACAACAGATTCTCCAAACATACAAAGGGACACGCCTGAGGAAGAAGTGTGTTAATTCGAGACCCGTCGTCTGTGTCCGGGCGCCTTCCACACGAGATTCCCGTTCTGCTGCTTGGTGTCTGGCACGGCCTCAGGCCACGGAATGACGGTCTGTCGGGCTTTGTTTGCACTTTCAAGCTCTTCCGGTGCTAGTTCTACTCTCTTGCCACAGTCGATGACTCCTCGGGACATCTCGGGACTGGGCGCGGCCCGGCCAGGAGCGCCAGAAAGCCGCGGAGAAGCATCAGCTGCTGGAGGCGGAAAAGCCCTGCCTGGATCGGAGCCAAGAGCAGAGCTCTCAAGCCCAAAGTCGGCAGACTTTTTGGCATGACGACGATGCCTTGTGGCGCTGGCTCGTGCTGATGTTTTCGACCAGGACCTGGTGGCGTGGGATGGAAGGGGATCAAAAGGAGATGAATCTCTCTGCGAGCCATCCGACAGACCTCGCAGCCACCAGAGTCTCTAGAGGTGCCATCACAAAGTTTCCTTTCCCCATGGGTCTGCAATATCGTTCCATGCCTTGACTTGAGATTTGTCACCAGTATAGATCTAATCTCACCACGCCGGAGAGCCGGCCGCTCTATTGCCAGAAACCCACCGAGCTAGCCCTTTAGCATAACACTAATTGACAGTCATAACACAGAGTGTTGAACCACAATATCAACATCTCGAGGGTGAATTTCAGAACCCTGAGCAACTGGCCGCAGCCCGAAACTTCTAAGTGGCTGGAAGCCAGGCAAGGCACTGCCAGGCGCTTCCTTCAGTAAGCCTAGGCCTAGAGCCTAGAGCCAATTGCGAGCCTCCCAAGCCAGGCTTTGCCTCGCCAGGGCCACGTCGCGCACTCGCGCGGCGACCCGCCCGGGCACGCAGAGCCTCCACAGAAAAAGAAAGAGCCTCAAAGCGCCTCCCACTCCTCGGACTCCTCAGACCTCTCCTCGTCCTACGAGTACCGCCGATTGAGGGGTGATACAAGAACATCCTCATTGCAGCACAAGAGATCGTAGTTTGCAGCATCAAAATGCAGAGCAATTCAGACTTCTGCACCCGATCTATCACTCCATTGAATAACAAACATGCACATCAAACACGATGAGTTCAGGTCCGCCACACCCCGGTATCCTCCGAACCCGAGCTTGCTCTGAAAGTTCGCTCCGAAATCCGGCTTTTGTTCACCTGTCTCATCACGTCAGGAAAGACTGGCCCGCTTCGCGGGGCGCAGAACAACCGTTTTGAGCGCAAAGTGATGTGACAGTCCAACTGCGGCTAACTGCCTGCAAATCGAACACCGTCTTCAAGGCCCGAACGGGACAGGAGCCATGCCAGGTTGGCAGGTGCCAGCAGCGGCAGCTGTTTCGCATGGCCCCCGATTCCCCTGTAAAGCTTTATGCTGTGCAGTGCTCCGCAAAATGGATCTACTTCAATGCTTGGTTTGCCCGCATGTTTATGACAGTGCTAAGCCACGAGCAATGAAAAAAATGCAGTATTGCATAGCACTCTGCCTCATCCGGGAAACTTCACTGACAGAGCAACTGAAATTTCAAGGCCACAAGAGTTTCTATCATGAAGGCTACTCTAACCTCCGTTTTTCGATATGTGACAGATCGTTGTCGCCACCGTCCCTCCGCCCACACCCCGCCTTCCCAAATCCATCACAGCCGCTGCAGCCCCACCAGTCCATGCCCACACACCCCATACGTCTGCTTCAGCCTCGAGTGTGCTGAGTGTAGGACGCTACGTGGCGATCCTTCCCTGCGCGTATAGCCAGCTCTTCGTGGTCAGCTTGACCTGCCAGCATCGCGCCATGCCGCCCGCCGCACACCCCCGTCCTCAGCCCTCAGCCCCACTGCCCACGAAGCCTTGTCACTGCACGAGCTCCCCCACTCTCGGAAGGCAAGCGCGCGCGCGTGCACACGTGCCTGGGCACATGCGCAGGGCGTGCGGTTGCCTTCTGAAAGTGGTGGGCTCGAGCAGTGTCAGGCTTCGCGGACAGTGAGGCTGAGGGCTGAGGACGGGGGTGCGCGGCGGCCGGCATGGCGCGATGCTGGCAGGCCAAGCTTTCCACGAGAAGCTGGCAACACCCGCAAGGGAGAGACCGCTATGCAACGTCCTAGACCCAGCACCCTCGAGGCTCTAGCAGATGCATGAGGGTTCAAACCTCCATTGATGTAGAATCAACGGGGCGGAGGGACGGTGGCGAGGGCTTGGTCCAGGACCAGCGGAGCTTGCAATGGCTCAGGATTCGGTCAAGCAGGGTGGAGGTGCGACACAGGGAAAACCGGCTGTCGAACGAGTCTGGCTGCACCCACGCAGGAGCTACCAAACCAGTCCGATAGCTGGCTATCCCAGTTCTAATCATAAGACATATAGTAGCGTTCCTGAATCTCGTGGCCTTGCATATCCGTTGCTGCCCTCTCTGCTACTGTGGTCCTCGCCAGTTCGGGAATATCAATCAAGAAAGAAACAAACTCCTCACTACTGAGTGCGTAATTTTGATACCAAAAAACGTAGCTCTACGCTCAAGTCACACCACCCTGCAGGCCGCAGACAAGCCTCAAGGCAAGAACCATCTAAATCTAAACGCTGGCGCTGGGTCTGCTGCATTTCCATGCCTTCCGCCCTCAGGCCTGATGACGGGGCAGACTTCCTACTTCAAAGTTTACGCCCACGGGCAGGTTCTGTAATGAAACTATGCCACTGTCGGTCCAAAGAGTCTGTTGTTCCTTTGGCTCACTAGGACTGGCAGTAGCATGGCATTTGTTCAAGTGAAGCGAAAACAGCGATCACCACCCGTCACACAGTCAATAGTTACAGTTAACATGCATGTGCCAGTCCTTGCACCTCCGAGCAACGGAGTAAGTGGGTCGAGCGATGTCGAACCCGGCTGCATCGAAACCATCCTGCCACCTGCACCAGCCTTGCAAGCTCATGCCCATGCCAGAGCCAGAATCTCGCCGTGACGCGACTTTCACAGTTTCTCGTGCTGCCACACAAAGGTCTTCGTCTCCTCCGCACCGACAGCTCGGACAGCGTCGGTCAGTGCCTCCTCCACCAAGGCCTCGGACCTCCAGCAGGTGGGCTGCGTCTCTGTACTCGCAGCCCCCAAAAGTTGGCCGTTCAAAGTGCCATTGGTCCTTGGGGCCTTCGCCACATTTTCTTCCGATTCCATACGTCAGGTGTGCTGCGATGCCTTGATTGAAACGATCTGCTGATCGTCCTCGCAAGATGAGCTGCTTGCCGTGACCACTGCATCTGAGAGTTGCCGCACTCCGGGTCAAAGTGTCTTCCTAGGGGATCGCTCGCATGGATCACTGCACGACCCACGGCGGGAAAAAACCGTTCGCAGCATCCAGTGCTTCGCCCAGTCAGCGCTTGCTCACTCAGTCCGCCACAGCATTGAGTTGCTCCTCCACGAGTATGCAGCCTCTTACTTTGTCACCACCGTCAACCAACGTCTGCGGCACGGCTGACACCTGCAATGGAGTGGAGACTGGAACGTACGCGAGATGAAGGTTTCAACAATCTTGCAATGAGATCCCATGAAGCCTATATAACTCTCCTCCTGAGAAGCTCCGTTGATATAATCTCCGACGTTAGCTACGCCTCCAGACCTTCAAGAAGCCGGGGCTGGTTTAAGGCGAGCATCGGGCAACTCGGCAACTCAGCAGTCGATGGACTCTGACTCTGATGACGAGTGCCTCAAGGTTGTGATTCAAAACTCCGCCTCTGTTCACGGCTTCGTGGGCTCTGCGTGTCACATCGGTGCACCAAAACCCTCTAAACAACGCATCACACCACTACCAGCGAAGTCTGGTCATTGCTTTCACGCATCTGCCACAAAAATGCTGCCGAAACGCGAGGACTCGCTCAGATCGCTAAGCTCGCGTACATAACGCAAGTCCTTCGGACATGGTGCGGGCAACTGGTACCACAAAACAGATGAACAAGGCTTCAGACATTTTCAGCTTCCCAAGCATCTACAGCGAATCCACGGCTGGCTTCGTTTAGCATTTACATGCATTTACAGTCTACGAATGCCGCCCGTGCAAGGTTCGCAACAAACTGCTCGAAACATGGGCGAAGTAAGAACAGAAAACATAATCGCAGACAAAGTCAGATTTTGCGCGCTTGAGCTCTGATGACGTACACAAATCTGGTTACAAAACTCTGACTGAAATACTTCGATGAGAGTCCAAAGCCCAAACGAAGCACCCTGGAAGCATCACCGATTGGAATTTCGGACAAGCCTGAACCCTCAAGACGGCCAATATAGTATGCAAAAGTTTGCAAAGAGGCCTTGAAGCCTGATTACCAGAAAACACCAAGGTCACATGAGGTCACCAAGGACACCAGGGAGATCCAAAAACCACGTGCAGAATGCCCCCAAAACAGCCCAAAGAAGCAGCTTCATCAAGAGGCAGTCCCAAGTGTATGTGGAGTTTGCCAACCTGAATCTGTTCTCGACTTGGCCCAGAATCTTCTGACAACTAAGGTCAAGCTAAAATAGCCAAACCCAAGCCTGCGTCCGCATCAGGCATCAGCATCAACAAACCCTCAAGCCTGTCTAGGTTCTCCTCAAGTAGGCTGATTGCAACGGTGATAGTATACGACATCAGCAACATCAACCGACATAAACCGAAACATCCGGAGCCGAGCGGAGCCGAGCCGCGACGCTCTTCGCGGCGCGCAGCGTCACGCGCTTGGCGGCGCTGAGGAGGCCCAGGCCGGCGAGGCGCCTCGCGTCGGCTTTTGGTGCACAGCCGGGCTTCGCAATGCTTCGCATTGCATGTTGGCTGCGGAGCTTGTGCGGCTTCATGCTCAGAGCCACTCATGCCCGCGAGCATGCCTCTTTAGAAGACCGCGTTGGCCGAAGATGACCTCGGTCGAAGCGGCAAATGTGCATAGCTGCAGCTTTAAGAACCAGCGGTCGGTGAATGCGAGGAGTAGCAGAACCCCAAACCTCGAATTTACCAAGACTTCCAGCTGAAACTGTCTCCTTTCGCCAAGACGGGGTCCCCCACATACTGCAGCTGCTCATCGAAGGTCTGGATGTCTGGAATCTTGCTCAAAACCATCTCCTGACAAAGTGTGCGACATGTTTGACAGGGCAGAGACCCGGCGTGCTTGTATGTGCCCAAGAAGAACTTCTTTCCCTCCCCGCCAACTGCTGTCTGTCTTGTGTCTTGCATGTATTTGCTTACAAGCGAAACTTGACCTATGGTATATTGCGAAGCATTCCATCCCATCTTGCAGACCTTCGCAGAAGTGCGCACCTTGTCTTCCGCGCGTGAGGCCTTGCAGTTCCGAACTGTAAGCGTCGTCAGCAATGTGTAGACGTGCTGCTCCTCCTCCTCAATGTCCTCAACAACCAACTCACACGGTGAACTTCTGCCTCTCTCCCTCTCTACTTGCTCGTGACCGATGGAATGTCGCTAGCCATGCCACCGGTTCTCGGTGATAGTCACCCCAAAAACCAGCTAGATATTGAAAATATGTTGATCTTCCTTCCGAGCTTCCAGAAATTTGTCGCTATGCAGGAGGACACGCTGTGGAATGTGGCAGTAGAAAGCACGCACCAATTCCGCCACGCACCACGCCCTGGCTGTAGCCAAGGCTTTGAGGTGGTAAAGGCTTCTGATTAGCATCTGTCTTGGGTCATGATGCAAGATGCTTGCCCTTTGTGGAGGTTAATGCTTCATGATGTATGCACCCTGCTGCTGCCTCTCGAACACCTCATACTTGATGTCGACACTCACGACCTGTGCAAACTCGGGAACCGTTCTGTGTAGAAAGTCGATCACGTCGTCGAACTTGTTCAACTCGCACATCTCCTCCGCATCGTTCAGGTACTTGGGGTGCTTGCAATCGCACAGCGG